CAAGAGCTGGTCACTTAACCAGCTGAGCCACCCAGGCGCCCCAAGATAATGTATTTAAAAGTTGGTAGAATTAATTTTCCCTATTTATGTTACCCGTTTGGTATATTTTACTTCTGTTTATCTTCAATTTTAGTTTTTCCCTCCTTATTAATTTTATGTCTTGAAAACATGAAACATTCACATTGCTAAAACTTAGAAACTCTTAAAAAGTTGCCCTTGTCCTCTGTTGATAAACATTTTCATTGTTCCTGATTTATCCTTATAACAAAGAAGGATATATGGTTTTCCTTCTTTTTCTTATAAAAACGGTGCTTTCAAGAAGCATTCATAAAGATTTTCATCCTTTTTGTAATTTTTCTAGTTTGCTTTCTATAATTGTATAGGGTATTCTTTCCTTATTAATTCAGTTTAAAATAACTGGAGTCTGGGGGTGCCTGGGTGGCTCAGTCAGTTAAACGTCCGACTTAAGCTCAGGTCATGATCCCGCAGTTCATGGGTTTGAGCCCTGCATCGGGTTCTGTGCTGACAGCCTAGAGCCTGGAGCCTGCTTCTGATTCTGTGTCTCCCTCTCTCTCTGCCCCTCCCCCGCTCACAATCTGTCTCTCTCTCTCTCTCTCTCTCAAAAATAAATAAACATAAAAAAAAATTAAAAAACTGGAGTCCAAGACATTTTATCCCACGCTTCCAGACAATTACCTATTCTAGGTTATGTGGCTGTTTGTGTTTTAAGAACATTTAAAGGAATTAGTCTTATGCCTCTTGGCAACACTTCCTTATCCTTCATAGAAACAGCAGATAACCTGGCAACATTTTCTTTGTTGTATTCTTTTATGTACTAGAAAATTTCCTTTAGTCTTTTTGGATCCAAAATGAGTATTTAATGAAGTATGTGTACGTGTGTGTGTGTATTGTTAATAATATTTGTATTAAAATATGTAATTTTTTACATATATACACAATTTTTTTGGTAGCACTCCAAGGAAGGACAGTCTCTAAATATTAACTCTTCTGTTTTGAGAAGCAAAACTGCATCCATATCATCACAATATATTACATATCAAGTCATTTGTATCTTGAAGAAGTATGAACCATGCTGTAAAAGGATAATTCTTCTAATTTAAGTAAAAGTCACTAATATTTAAGTCTATTATAT